CAAATGTCCATCAGCCAGTAAATGGATAAACAAATTACAGTCCATCCATACAATGGAATATTCCTTAGCAATATAAAGGAATTAACTCTTAATACGTGCAACAACATGGATGAATCTCAAAAACATGATGCAAAGAGAAATAAGGCAAGATCAAAAGGCTACATATGGCATAATTACGATACATTTATGACATTCTAGAAAAGAGAAGACTGTAAGGACAGAAATCAGATCAGTAGCTGTCAGGAGCTGGGGCTGGGAGAAGGCACTTGACTACAAAGCAGCACAAGGGAAGTTTTTGGAGTGATTAAAATATTCTATATTTTGATGAGGATGGTGGGTATATGACTGCGTGCATTTGTCAAAATTCATCAAACTGCATCCCTTTTTAAAAAGAGCAAATTTTACTGTGAATAAATTATTGTACCTCAATAAATAGGAATTTTTAAAAATATGGGATGTTGATAATGAGGAAAGCTACACATGTGTGGGGGCAGAAGGTATATGGGGAATCTCTGTACCTTCCCCTCAATTTTTAAAAAAGTATTTATTGGGGCTTCCCTGGTGGCGCAGTGGTTGAGAGTCCACCTGCCGACGCAGGGGACACAGGTTCGTGCCCCGGTCCGGGAAGATCTCACATGCCGCGGAGTGGCTAGGCCCGTGAGCCATGGCCGCTGAGCCTGCGCGTCCGGAGCCTGTGCTCCACAACGGGAGAGGCTACAACAGTGAGAGGCCCGTGTACCAGAAAAAAAAAAAAAAAATGCATTTGGCTGTGCCACATCTTAGTTGCAGCCCACAGGATCTTTGTTGCTGCATGCAGGATCTTCATTGTGGCACAGGAGATCTTTAGTTGCAGCATGCAGGATCTTAGTCCCTGACCAGGGATTGAACCCAGGCCCCCTGCACTGGGAGCATAGAGTCTTAACCACTGGATCACCAGGGAAGTCCCCCCCTCAATTTTGCTATGAATCTAAAACTGCTCTAAAAATATAAAGCACTAACTTAAAAAAGAAGAAGTAAATGTATTAGAAATGCATCTCAATGAGATGAATGAGATATTATAGAGCTTTAATTAAAGAATATTTTGATGTGAAAGAAAAAAAAGAAAGATGAAGAGAAGGAAGGAAGGGAGGGAGGGAGGGAGGGAGGAAGGAAAAATAGGGAGAGGGAAGCGAAAAGAAAGAAAAGAGAAAAGAAAAGGAAGAGAAAGAAAAGAATCTTTTTTTATCTGCCACCAAAACGTGAAAACCTGTCCCTGAAGGCAGTTTGGTACAAGACTTTGGAGTGGAACAGACCTTGTTCAAACCCCAGCTCTGCACTTACTAGCTGTATTACTGGGCAAGTTACTTAACCTCTCTGATTAAACTCTGTAAAGTAGGGATATGACTAGCACTGACCTATTATTATCATGATTTAATGAGATAAGGCACAGTCCATAATCCTCAAAGTGACAGCTCCCCCCAGCACACCCCACTCCTCAAACCCAAAGTGGAGATCTTGTTAACTCAAGTGCCCACACAATGGTGAAAGGAGTAGAGGTTGAGAAGCAGCATGGACAATATAACCTTAAATCATTTAAGGACTAAAGCTGGGGGAACAATGAGGCAAAGAGCAGCAACGCCTTTTTTTAAATTCCTTCAACAGATTCAAAGGAAGTCACGGTGCCAGTCGCCTGCAGAAGGCCACGTGCTCAGAAACCTAAACATTTTCATTTGGAAAATAAATGGTTCCTAAGGAGTAGAGGCGACAGGGGGACAACTTTGGCCTCCTGAAACAGGGGGTGGACTCTTCTCAATTATAGAATCAATATCTGGGAAGGGACACAAGGTATGTTGCAGAGGTGGGGAGCGGGGGAGGGGTTGTCTCAAGCATGCTTAGTCCAGGCTCAGATACAAACTTGGCTTTGATTTTCAAAACTGTCTTTTCATGGGTGTATGCTGTAAAAGCCAGACATGGAGCCTAGAAAAGGAGAGGCCACTGGGTAGGGTCACCACACAAAGAAAATGGGCCAGCTCTGCACCATTTCCTTAGTTCCAGAATACACTCCCCAGGAAAAGACGTCATTAACCTGATATTAGATAGGATGAGAACCTCAGTTTTCAAAGAGAAAAGTCACAGACAAGCAATAAGGCCAGCTGAAAACCCGGGATATAAAAAAACCGCCTGCACACAAAACAACAGTGCACCTTAGAATCAATATTCTCCAGACACAAAGCTGGTAGAAATTTAGATCATAATGAGGGTGATATTCAAGTCCATGGGAGAGAGAGATTATTTAATAAGATAACTTTGAGGCAACAGCCTCATGATCTGCAATACAAATAAACCTGAATTCCTACCCTCACTCTTTACACCAAAACAAATTCTAAGTGCATCAAAGATTCAAACGTAAAACAGAAATCATAAAAGTACTTGAAGAAAACACAGAGTATTTTTTTTTTAAATCTCAGAGCAGGGAAAACATTTCTAAGCAAAACCTAAGCTATAAAGCAGAAGATAGATTAATTTGACTACTTATTATTTTTCGGGATTCAAAATGTTACAAACAAGTTTAGAGACAAACTACAAACTAAGAAAAAAATATGTAAAACACATACAAGGGCCTAAACTCTTTAAAAAGAGCATGTAAAAACCATTAATTAAAAAAATACAGTCTAACAGAAAAATGGGCAGAGGACATGAACAGGGAATTTCCACACCCCCCAAATATACAAATGCCAATAATCCTTTGAAACCAAGATTAATCTTACTCACAATTAAAGAAATGCAAACCAAAACAAGATGCCATCTTCTAAAGGATATTTGACACATATATGTTTAGATATTTTAAAAAATGGAAATTATTGCAAGGCCCATCAATAGATGACAGTTACATAAATAATAGCACATAAATATAATTAAATGCCATGCACCTATTACAATTTAAATACTGTTTTTACCCATAGTGATAACATTGAATGCAGTCTGTAGCATCTGGTTGAGTAGGAGAAAAAGATTTCAATCTGTGTAGCAAGAGTCCATTTATCTAAAAGTGTACAGTTTGACCTATTTGTGAATAAGTGCACAGAGATACGTCTGGAAGAAAATTCATCAAAATGATAGCAGTGACTGTCCCTGGGTGGAAGGATTTCAGGTGATTTTTACTTTATTTTGAAATCCTTTTAATAATCTACAATGAGCATACATTTCTATAATCAAAGAAAGCTAAGTTATTTTCATTTTGAAAAATATGAAGAAGTTTTGATGCAATGTTCCAACAAAACAAAACGCATCAACATGCAATAAGGCAAATGGTCCCAAGGCTGAGACCCATGCCCTGTGGCTGTCCCTCCTAGCTGGCACTGTGCAACAGGAGGCAGACAGGTAGGTAAAAATCAGGTTTACAAAGGTGGAGCAGGTACAGGATGGTAAGGGTTCAAGAACAGGTTTGCAGCGGGAGAAAGACTCAATTCAAAACCTGATTCCAGGGGGTTTCCCTGGTAGCACAGCGGGTAAGAATCCGCCTGCCAATGTAGGGGACAGGGGTTCGAGCCCTGGTCTGGGAAGATCCCACATGCCGCGGAGCAACTAAGCCCATGCATCACAACTACTGAGCCCACGTGCCACAACTACTGAAGCACAAGCACCTAGAGCCCATGCTCTGCAACCAGAGAAGCCACCACAATGAGAAGCTCATGCACCACAACAAAGAGTAGCCCCCGCTCACCGCAACTAGAGAAAGCCCACGCGCAGCAATGAAGACACAACGCAGCCAAAAATAAATAAATAAATGTATTAAAACAAAACCAAAAAAAACCTGGTTCCACCACATTAGCTGTGTTGACTTTGGGCAAGTCAGTTAATCTCTCTGACCCTCAGTTTCCTCCTTCCTGAACTAGGATAACTGCCTCTGCTTTCTATGCGATATCTTCAGCTCACTGCTTGGCACACAGTAAGTACTCAATAAATGTCAGCTGCTTATACTATCTGGGACATTTGTAACCTTTGTTCACATTGCAACCACTATGTTCTCCATGATCTGGGGTCACAGAGCAGAGTGGAGAGAAGCAAACCTCAGAAAATCCAAATATCTGGTCTTGGACAACATGCTTCTCTAGCCCCATGAAACCCTTCCTGGAAGCAGCAGGCGAGGAGTAAGGCAGCCAACCGCAAAGAGGAAGAGAAGGACAAGGCAAGGAATCCCTGGGTGCTGCCTACTTGTAGTGGATGAGCCAACACGACTCATTCCTCTCCTCTACCCTTCCTCCTGGGTTGGCTGGGACCTCCCCCTAGACTTCATGTTAGGATCCTGGAAAGACGACTCGAATGCCAAGGTAGAAAGGCCTTGAGAGACCATCTAGTGCAGCATCCTTCACTCTACATGTGAGGAACCTGAGGACCACGGAGGGGTGGGGACTTGCAGGGAACCAGAGAGCCAGTACCCAGCACAGACCTTCCATCATGGTGTCCCCTCCTACGCTCATCCTTCCCTCCCCCTGCCTGCCCCCTCACATGCTCTCATCTCCCCCATATCTTTCCCCCACTTCCTTACCTGTAGGACTCCTTAAGGGCCCCTTTCTCCTCTGGCAGCCCTAATTGTCCTTTATGGCTCTGTGGTGAGGGGAGAAACCAGACTAGGACTGTTCTGACTCAAAGAATGGCCTAGAAAGAGGACTGCTGTGGCCAACACTACGTCAAGACCCACCCAGCTACTCCTCTGCTTCCAAAAGAAACAGAGCCCATACCATGGTGTAAAACAGGAAGGGAAGAAGAAAGAGACCTGAGTTATTCACAATCCTTCCTGGTGACAGTGAAGGTTACCTTGAAACCCTTAGGAAAGGAAGACCCCGGAAGAGAGAGGTACCAGCAGATTCACGAGGAACCAGCAGACTCCATCTCCTAGGTGGTAAATACAACCGAGATGCAGGGCAGCCATGTGTGAGGAGAGACTTGGAGACAGGAGTACAAGGCCATTTTCCCAGATCACAGTTCCAACTCTTGGCAGTGACTGGGCTGGGGCTTACCTTGGGCAGGCTAACTGGAGTCCTGGGCTTCGTCCTTGGGTTTTTAATCAAGAGCCTCTGATCCAGAGGGAGAAGATGATATTTCATGGCCTCGATGAGGAAGTCCTTACAGGTGTTGTTATTCTTTATCAAAGCTTCTTCTTCAACTGTCTAGAGGTAATAACCCATAGGTGATCCTGGTGCAGAACTCGGCCCCATTTCCCAAGCCATCTCCCTGGGCTGAGTCATTCCTGTACTCTCACACTCATTCGTTCCCATACCGCACCATCTCAGACCCTAAGACAAAGGTCCACAGAGTTACAGCTTAGTGCCCACCTCCTGCATCTCAAGAGAACAATGGAGTAGGTGATTAAGCTCTGGCATCAAGCAGACAGGGATACAAATCCCAGCTCTACCATTTAACTCCTCTGATCCTCAGTTTCCTCATCTGTAAGATGGGCATATTAAAGTCCCCCACAACCTCACAGGTTGTGTTTGTTTGTTTGTTTATAGGCTTAACAAGATTATGCAAAACAAAGACAACTGATTGTCCCTAAAGCTTCTTTCCACATGCCTTCTGGTTGGAATGTATTATAATGTTTAAGGCAAATGGCCAGATATTTGAGAGAAGGAGAGGGAGGGAAAGAGGAAAACAGTGGGATGCATCGGCCAACCTTTGGAGGCACTGGGTATAATAAGGTGATATTCAAGAAGAAGAATTCATATTCATTATCTTACAGTGCAAGCCTCAGGGAGAAGTGTCCAGTGAGGCACTCTCCAACAGAGCAGTGGTATCAGAGCAGAAAGAGTGTCCTGCACAAAAGTCCCACCAACTGACCTCCACTTGGACTGCATCTAAGCTGGGGCTGTGGCTTCTTCATGCCTTATTCTGGAGCCAAGGACTTAAGCAGGTGCTCAGCAAGTGTGGGCCTAAATATTTCACAAGCAAAGCTAAGGATGAACCACGCTGGTACTCTGACTCTCAAATCTCCACCCTTGGGCACAGGTCAGATTGCTACGTGGCATATCTGTAAGGGGTAGTGTGGTCTTCAGAGGCTACTCCACGTCTTCTTTGCTGGAGTGTTTGGGAGCTGTTGGCAAGGTCAGTTCCATTCAGCAGCTAACAGTGATTGAATGTCTCCTGGTTGGGCAGCTCAGTGCTGGACCCGGGGGAGAAAATGATGCACAAGACAAGGGTTCTGACCCAGAGGCCCTCAGGTCCAGTCAGAGAATGAGAAGGGCCTCCCCACCTCAATTATCTCAGCCCTCAAGCTGTCATGCACAGGCCTGGCTGAGCCGCTCCTGGGTCCCCCACCTGTAACTAGGAATGGGAATGCGGCCAGGGCCATCACCTGCTGGGTAGTGTTGGAGTTGGCAGGAAAAGAAGGATCAGTGAGGGCGCCTGTGTTATCTCTGGACACCTCCTTCCCCACAGACTATCCCCAGGGACACTCCGTTTTCTTGGAAGTTTTTTTTTCCCTCCTACTGAGGGATTGAGGCAGGTAGGGACAAATCATAAACGTTTGGGGTCGGTTAAAAATGAAAAAGGGTGGGAGAGGATCTCTTTAAAAGCTTGGGAAGAAGGAAAAATGCATGAGTAGCTACTGCTCCCAAAGAACTCATTCGGCTTGAATGAAAAGCTCCCTGAGAGAGTTAGTACTTCATGGGTACAGAGTTTCAATTTGGGATGATGAAAAAGTTTTAGAAATGGGTATGGTGATGGTTGTACAGCACAGTGAATGCAATTAATGCCACTGAACTGTACACTTAAAATGGTTACCATGATGAAGTTTATATTGTACATATTTTATCACAAGGACAAATTTTTAAATAAGATATGGCATGTTATACATTTGGCACAATATTTGTAAATATTTAATAAAAGCCTAATAAAGGTTAGCTATTAAAAGAAAACAGCAACAACAACAACAAAACAACTCCCCCAGAAGTCAGTGTTGGTACAGGTCTGCCCAGAGCTTTCCTTTCTCTCAGCCTCCTCCTCTACCATCAGCCATCCCCAGTGGTTAGACTAGTTTGACATTTCAAGGTCAAATGAGTGTTTTGCGGGGGGCGGGGGGGGGGGGTTGGTTTTTCTTTAACATTTTTATTGGAGAAAATGAGTGTTAATGAAACATCTCCTTCCAGAGGTGTTCTGAAAAAAAAAAAAAAGTCCCACACAACAGTTCTCATGCACATTGTCTCTGAGCTCCTCCTTCTCCAGATCTAAACCTGACCTTGCCCTAATAACCCAGGAACTATTTCCTAAAGTCTTCATTAAATTTCCATTGTGGGTACCTGACGGAGGTTGTGCGTAGGGGTATCTAAAGCCCCTTTAGCTTTCTCCGGAACCCAAGTCCACAAACCGCCCTTCCTCCTTGTGAAAGTGAGACTGTGCTGGAGGCCAGGTGTCCGCCTTCACCGGTGGTTAGGCCCCACTCAGGATAGTGGGAGGTTTGGCTCTGACACGGGGAGCTCAGGTGGGTTCAGTGCCTCTGCTGAGGGGGCCTCTCCTACACGAAGGATGTGCGGCCACCAGGTGGCAGTGGTGCCATCCAAAGTGTAAAACGCAGGGCATGTATGAAGGCCTGAGAATATACGCCCCGGCCCCTGAGAAGAGGGCTAAGGTTCAGAGATTCAGAGACCATTCCACTGACTCCTGAGGCCTGTGATCAACAGCACCACAAGATGAAGACTTTATAAGTGCTGGTAAGGATACTCTCTCCCGCTACTACCAACGGTAGCAGTGGTCGTGAAGACCATAGAGATATCACTGAACACAGGGTTGTAGGCTTTACATGGTTTATCTCATTCTATCCCCAAATGACCCTATAAGGGCAGGGGCTATTTTCACCAGATGAGAAGACAGAGGCTTAGCAAGGCTGAGGATTCGCCCAGTGTCTTACAGTCAAGAAGTGACAGAGCTCAGCTGCTGGGCTGCTGAACCTACTCTTATCCCGGCTTCACATCTGCCATTCCTCCCAGGGACTTCTTGAGGACGGCTGAGGGCTGGCCTACTGCCTTGGCACTTGTTATTTGTCTATTTAAGTTTTATCCTCTGCCTGCCTGGAAAACATCTAATGCCACTGACACTACAAAGTTAAGTCATGTAAAATATACAAACAGAAGAGAAAGTATTAAAGGTGGGGCCTGCTTAGGGAAGGTGGGTGGTCTAGAGCCAGACAGACTTGGATTTGAATCCTAACCCTGCCACTTACTAGCTGGTGACTCCAGATAAATCCCAACCTCCATAAGCCTCACAGCCCACATTTGTAAAAAGGGGATTTTAACCTCTGCTCACAGGGTTGTTACAAGGATTAAATGAGAAAATATGTGGCGCCATGTTTTAGAGGAAGCAGATGCAGTATGTATTCCAGGCACTTGAGAAGAGCTGGTTTTTACAGTCCTGAATTGGGCCCCAAGTTGCCTAACACGAAGGCAAAAAGGGAACATAGAAACATGATGGAAATGACCCTTCTTGCTTCAGTTCTGTACAACAAAAACAGCTAATAACTTCTGTTGAACATGTGTCATCCCCAGCTCCATGCTAACACCTGAACCGCATCCTTACAGCTCCTTTGGTCCTCACAACAACCCTGCTGGGCTCTAGTATAATTTTCTCTTCTAGAGAAAAAGAAACTGAGGCTTAAAGCTAAGAAGTAGAAGAGGAGGAACTAAACCTTAGTGTCTCATTCCCAAACCTATGCTCTTAAACCTTACACTACCATGCCTCACACTGAACCCAGTGGGTTGGTGCCCTCACTCCACAGAAAGGACCCAGGAAACTCACCACTCCATACAACCGGGGTTGCCCACTGCTACTCCTAGGAGGCTTGGGTGAGCAGGGAAGTGCTTGGCTCTTCACATAGCACTCACCTGGACAAGGTAATCCCTCGGTAAGAGAGGGAGACGGACGTGTTCCATCAGCTTTGCCATGTGCTCTAAACGGGTTTCTTTCTCGTAATTGATCCATGAAATCACAGCTTCAAATACCTGTAAGGAAAATCAACATAGGTAACTTTTGCAAAGAGGCATTAACTTTAAACAGCTTTCAAACAACTTCCTCAACCTGAAAAAAGAAAGAAAAGTTACAAGTCATCCACAAAGGTGTTTAGGCTAATGTAAACACCTTTAAATTTAATACTTAAAATAAAACAAAAACACAAAGTCTCTACTATCTGACGTCAGAGAGTGCTCTCTCTCTCACACACACACACAGGTACGCTAAGAAAAACCTGCTACCCCAAACACAGAATCATCAAGGTTCATCGCAAAATAAAAATAAATTCCAATAGTTACCTCAGGGTAGAAATACAGAGCAGTAACTGAACCAAATTTTACGAAGACTGTCCAAGAGGACCAGAAGCCCTGGGGGCAATATCATCATCCCCATCACACACCCCCGTCTCTTCATCTATCTCCCATGTTCATTTAATGCAGAACAAAAACAATAAAGATATCCTCTGCAAAAGCTGGCTGTAATGGTGAATGTGACACTGAATGACAGAAAATGGCAAAAATTTCTCCTTGGGTCAACCCTCTCCTTTGAGGAGAGATTTCATTTCTATACAAATCAAAATGGGGCTTCGAAGCAAAAAGGGGAATCTATGGTTTGGATGTTTGCCTTACTCAAGGTTAAGTTCAAATTCAAACTCTGCACCACCATATACACAGAGACAGGTAAACTTCAATGTTGGTAAGACAGCGGGGAAACCACCACTGTTAATGGAAACTTAACTAACGCGGCTTAAGAAGGGAAGGAAGAATTTGGCAATATCAATCAAAAATTCAAATGTGCATATCTTTGACCTAGAAATATCACTTCTAGAGCTCTAGTCAACAAAAACATTCACAAAAGTGGTACAAGAATATGTGTTCCAAGATGTTTGCTGCAGCGTTTTTGTAACAGGATAAAAAAGGAAACAATCCAAAATCCACTAGTGGAGAAATTATTAAACTAGTATCGATACCATGGGATATTTTCAGCTCTTAAAAAACAATAATAACAATAACAAGTAGTAATAAGACAAAACACTTTCTTGCGCCAGAAAGCAAGAAAGTGCTCAAAGATTAAGGGGGACACAACGAACAGACACAGAGCGAGCTAGATGGCGCTTTTTCATTGCCGACGTCTGGGACAATTCAAACATCAAAAAGAATAATGAAGAAATCAGTTCTGCGCTGACTGGGAAGGGGCCAAAGGAAATTTCTTCTGGTAATGGATATGTTCTTTATCTTGATAGGGCAGGAGCTATGTAAGCATAGGCATCTGTCAAAAGGAATTTAATTTTACACTTAATATCTATACATTTCACTGTGTGTAAATCGTACCTCAATTTAAAATACTTTTAGTTAAAAGAAGAGGATAGTAATGAATCGTAACCCAAAGAATAAAAAAAGAGTCCATGAGTCCGTAAGGACACTTTAAAAAGTGTGGGAAGGGCTGCTCTTCCCAGCAAAATGTCTTCTAATAAGGTAAAAGGGATGACAGAATAAGAAAAACATTGTTTTGCAACCACCAATGTAATAACTGATTGAGCAAAGATCGTCCATAGATGCTGAAATCATTGGGTGAAAAGTTGTTGGGAAAAAAGATATTCATGGTTCTCAAAGTGTCACCTGACAGATTACTTATTCACTACATGGGGAGAGTGGGGGTGCTTCAAACGGGTATATCTGACAAATACCACCTTTAACAAGTGGTCAGGGCTTCCCTGGTGGCGCAGTGGTTGAGAGTCCGCTTGCCGATGCAGGCGACACGGGTTCGTGCCCCGGTCCGGGAAGATCCCACATGCCGTGGAGCAACTGGGCCTGTGAGCCATGGCCGCTGAGCCTGCGTGTCCGGAGCCTGTGCTCCACAACGGGAGAGGCCACAACAGTGAGAGGCCTGCGTACCGCACAAAAAAAAAAAAAACAAAAAAACAAAAAAACAAGTGGTCAAAGTCAGCACCACTAATAAATAGGACAAATTTATATTATTGTGTTAGCCAAAAAGTGCCTTCGGTTTTTAAGTAAAAATAAAAGACACATTTTTCATTTTCACCAATAACTTTATTGAACAACATATTCACCGTTTTGTTTCACTACCTTCCGACATTTTTTAGGCAACTTCATAATTGCATCTTCCCAAAACTTTGTATCTTTTTGAGCAAAGAACTGTCCCAGATGCCTTTCACAGTCTTCCAGGAAATTGAATTTTTTTCCATTAACAGAATTTTGTAAAGACCTAAATAAATGGAAATCCAAAGGCGCACTGTCTGGTGAATACGGCTGATGAATCAGAACTTGCCAGACAAGCTGTAACAGTTTCTGCCTTGTCATCAAAGAAACATGTGGTCTTGCGTTATCCTGATGGAAGATTATGCATTTTCTGTTGACTGATTCTGGAGGCTTTTCGTTGAATGCTGCTTTCAGTTGGTCTAATTGGGAGCAGTACTTGTGAGAATTGTTTGGTTTTCCGGAAGGAGCTCATAATAGAGGACTCCCTTCCAATCCCACCATATACACAACATCACCTTCTTTGGATGAAGACCGGCCTTTGGTGTGGTTGGTGGTGGTTCATTTCGCTTGCCCCACGATCATTTCCATTCCACATTATTGTACAGTATCCACTTTTCATTGCCCATCACAATTTGCTTTAAAAACAGAACGTTTTCATTACATTGGAGTGGAGAATCACACGCAGAAATGTGGTCAAGAAGGTTTTTTTCACTTAATTTATGTGGAACCCAAACATCAAAGCGATGAACACAACCAAGCTCATGCAAATGATTTTCAACACTTGATTTGGGTATTTGAATAAGTCAGCTCTCTCCCATGTAATACAACGTTGATTGTTCTCAATTAATGTCTCAATTTGATCGCTATCAACTTCAACTGGTCTACCCCACCGTGGAGCATCATCCAGCGAGAAATCTCCAGCACAAAACTTCACAAACCACTTTTGACATGTTCGATCAGTCATAGCACCTTCTCCATACACTGCACAAACTTTTTTTTTGCGTTTCAGTTGGTTTTTACCTTTCTTGAAATAAGAAAGCATAATATGCCGAAAATGTTGCTTTTCTCCTTCCATCTTCAATATTAAAATGGCTACACAAAAATTCACCAATTTTGATGTCTTCTTTTTTTAATGCATGCAAATATGACAGCTGTCACAATACAATCTAACAAAATTGTTTCAAATGAAGTTAAAGACAACTAAGTGGGACTTCCCTGGTGGTCCAGTGGTAAAGAATCCGCCTTCCAATGCAGGGAATGCGGGTTCGATCCCTGGTCAGGGAACTAAGATTCCACATGCTGCAGGGCAACTAAGCCTGCGTGTCACAACTACCGAGTTTGTGCGCCTCAACTGGAGAGCCTGCGTGCCACAAACTACAGAGCCCACATGTTCTGGAGCCCGAACGCTACAACTACAGAGCCCACGCACCTTGGAGCCCGCGTGCCACAACTAAAGAGGGAGAAAAAACCCCACATGCCACAACTAGAGAGAAGCCCACGCGCCACAGCAAAGAGCCCACATGCTGCAATGAAAGATCCCGCATACCTCAACAAACATGCCATATGCCACAACCAAGACCCGATGCAGCCAAAAATAAATTTTAAAAATAAATAAATAATAAATCTTAAGAAAAACAAAAAACTAAGTGCTACTAGAGCCATCTTATGGAAAAAACCGAACGAACCTTTTGGCCAACCCAATACATTCCTGAATGTGATTTAATGAGAGGGAAACAGCATCCCCTAGGTAGTATTCTTTCTAAAATGTTTAACCTGAATCTTATAGTGAGGAAACAATGAGACAACTCCATGTGTGGGACACTCTACAACACAGGTGTCCTGGATTCTTCGAAACTGTTAGCATTATGAAAACCACTTAAAAAAAAAAAGGCAGGGAGATAGTTCTAGATTAAGGGGATTTAGAGACATGAGAACTAAATGGGAGGCATGATCCTTGTTTGAATCATGGATTAAAAAGAAACAACCGTGAAAGACTTTTTCTGAGACTGTTAGGAAATTTGAATGCTGACTAGATATTTCTTTGGTATGATAATGGTTTATGGCTAGAAAAGGGAATTTCCTTGTTCTTAGGAGGTGCAAGCTAAAATACTTAGGGGTAAAGTATCATGATGTCTGCAATTTACTGTCAAATGGTTCAGCAAAATAAAAGATTAAATAGATAGAAAGAGAAAGTAAGTGAAGCACAACGTTAACAAATGGTGAATCTAGGTAAAGAGTATATGAATGTTCATTCTTTCCAACTTTAGTATAGGTTTGGAATTTTTCAAAATAAAAAGTGGAAGGGAGAAGAAAAGGACACAACCAAACTGGTGTAAATGATTTTCAGTGCTTGATTTGGATATTTTGAGCTATGTCAGCTATCTCCCGCGTGGTATAATGTTGATTGTTCTCAATTAATTTCTCAATTTGATCTCAATCCTACAACAAAATTTACAATTTCAAAATTCAAAGTTGAAAGCTATATCTCCCAGGGTGCGTAAAAAACCTCCAATTTTTCTTACCCTAACTATATTTTTGTGTGTATTGATATGTTAATAATGCTTTGGCCCTATTTCCTAAACATATACTTAAGTCAGGCTAAGCATACTCAGATTGAACAAGGTATCAGGAAGGAATCCGTCAGAAAGGGAAGGGAAGGGAAGAGAGATGAGTGGAATGGAACAGAAGGGAAGGAGCAGTATGTATGTATAGTTTGCTACCATTTCTATATAAAATAACCTATATGTGTACAAACATAGACACACACACACACCATGGAAATTCTCCTTGTCTAGTTCATTTTTTTAAAATTATTAACTGTCACAGAGCTATGTGTCTCACCCTTATCACATTATTTTGTAAACAGTTGTGTGTTTCTTCAAGTAGCCCTTAAGATCCCTGAAACAGGGACCTTGTCTTACTTGCTGGCGCATAACACATACTCAAATATGTTTTAATGAATGAATGGACAAATGAGTTCAGAATAAGCATGT